GATCTGCTTTGGAGTCCCAACTGAGTTCAATAATTCCTTGCTTTAGACCCTCGTTGGATCCACCAGGAAAGCCCGTCAGGCCGGTGGTGGATGCTGCGGATGTGGTGTTTCTCCTGCTGGACCACCCGGACCACCTGGACAAGATGGAGAACCTGGAGCCGATGGTCAGCCTGGTCAACCTGGTAGAGATGGACCCGATGGACCACCAGCCACGCCAGCTCCGCCGCCTCCACAGCCATGCTTCAACTGCCCTCCCGGTCCTCCTGGTCCAGCTGGAAACCCAGGAGGCAAGGGACAACCAGGAAACCCAGGACAAGATGGCCAGCCAGGAAATCCTGGACAGCCAGGAGGTGCAGGTCAGCCTGGACCACCAGGACCACCTGGAAACCCCGGTCAGCCTGGAAACCCTGGATCGCCAGGAGCCCCAGGACAACTCACCACAGTTCCCGGCTCACAAGGACCACCTGGACCAGCTGGACCTCCAGGACCTCCTGGACCCGATGGTCAGCCAGGAGCACCTGGAAACCCAGGACAAGATGGTGCACCAGGACAGCCAGGAGACAATGGACAGCCTGGTGGTCCAGGACAGCCCGGAGGCGACGGAAGCTGATGGTGAAGACGGTGACGGTGGAGCTCCAGGAGGCTGCGACCACTGCCCACCTCCTCGCACTGCCCCCGGATATTGAGTGCTTTCTGCTCAACAGGGTACGTAATCAGTCGAACGTAGTTTTTGTCATAAAGCGATTTTCAAGATGTTGTGTTCTTTCACTCCGGTATCTACACATTACTATTTATCGTAGTCGATATGAGTGGTGGTGAAGATCCGCTGGCGGCATCATTCAGGGGTGCTAAAAAGGACGAATCTTATCTTCATGCCACTGACTAAACGATTCTAGAAGGAGACTGGGTAATGCACTAAGTGAGTGAATTACTTATAATTTTCCCGAGAATTTCCCTCTTTTTGCTAATTTTCCACGAAGAGCCCTTCACACACATTTTCTACACACACTACATTACATTACATCTACATTCACATGCCCCGCCCCAGATAACTCCGCCCCTTTTTGTCACGACACAATTTACGCCGTGACCAGACACATTTTACACTTTATATACATGTTACAGCAGTTTTTCACACTTTTCCTCTATACTGACAGATAAACCTTTGACAACACTTTTACTATATAGTGTAGTTGACTCCGCCCCCGACGATTCCGCCCACTTATTAATGAATTTATTGAAAATTTCGCCACTTTATAAGTATAAGTAATGGAGTAGTAGTAGTATAAGTAATGTAATGGCAGCCCGCCCACCAAATTTGCCCTTTGCAGACTCCCTTTCCCATTTTACTTTTCCTCTTACCAACCTTCTCCCAAAAAATCCACGTTAACTTTCGGCCCAGTAGATCACGTTGTGTAGAATTGTGGGAAAGTAGAATGTGTAAATTTTTCTGCTAAATACGCGCTCTCAAAAAGTCTCGATATGACCCAACTCCTCCCCCACTCCCCCCTCCCCAAATGAGATCAGATGTTTGATTTTGCCAGAAACTTCAGAAGTATCATTTTTCGGCCCATAGATTTCCGTTCCCAAATCCTGAGCCTGCAGCTTGTCGTCGTTATAGCTTTATGTGTCTCTTGGCTGTCTACGACCCCTCCCTCCCATCACATTTCCCCTTTGGAGGCTCCCGTTCCCATTGTACTTTTTCTCTTACCAACCTTCTCCCGAAAAAATGCCGTCAGGGGGTGGGAGAGGGGTAGATCTCTCCGGTCACCTACCAGAAGTAGCATCTTGATGCGCCAACTACTAGAAGCCTGTATAGCGGAGAAAAT